CCTTGATACCATAAATGCCATCAAACCACCTACCAATCAAAAAACACTACAATCATTTTTAGGAGCAGTAAACGTTTATAATAAGTTTATAGCAGATTATGCCCGCTTACGAGCACCTTTAAATAAACTACTTAAAAAGGATGTAAAATGGAATTGGGACCAAGACTGTCAACAAGCTTTCACCACTCTCAAAGAGAGTTTAACCAGTAAACCAGTACTACACTTGTATCAAGTCGGTTTACCATGCCGCCTTTATTGCGACGCACCCACCCAAGGAATCGCCGGCATACTCAAACAGGTGCATCCAGACGGACAAGTACATCCTGTACAATATTTCAGCCGCGCCCTTAGAGCACATGAGAGAAACTACACCGTTTCCGAACTCGAGTGCCTCGCCATCGTCGAAAGTGTAGACAAATTCCGAATATACCTCACCGGTATAAAATTCACCATATACACAGATCACCAAGCTTTACAATGGCTTAAAACTATAAAAAAAAATCCGTCAGGACGGCTCTTTAGATGGAGCCTGAGACTATCTACCTATAATTATGAAATCCACTACCTCAAAGGCAGCCAACAGTACGAGGCAGATTTACTGTCACGAAACCCCTTTGTAGGATTTATCAGTGCTGATATTATAAAACAGCATCAACCAACACAGCATCCACATTCAACATTGATACAAACGGCTTACATACCATTACCCGAAAAGGTGTAACTAAAATAATAATTCCCGAAACCCTGCAATATACTCTCATGAACAAAGTTCACCAAGAATATAACCACCCAGGCATCTCTCAGATGACCCGCATAATTACTACCCAGTACTACTGGAAAGGTATCTCTAAATCTATAGAAAAATTTGTCAGGTCGTGTCACACCTGCCAAATCATTAAAAGGCCCAAAGGTAAACCCTATGGTGCCCTCGGACAAATTCCACCACCTCAACGACCATTCGACTTAATCTCTATAGATACCATAGCTGGATTTTCGAAATATGGACACTCCAAAACATATCTACACGTAATAGTGGATCATTTAACGCGATATGCTTGGACCTTTCCATCGAAGTCCACCAGTACCCTAACGTACATTCAAACCCTCAAGACTGTATTACAACAAGGATTTCCAAAACGCCTGTTATCTGACCGAGCGCCCGCTTTTACCTCAGAAAAATTCCGTAAATTTCTAATAACACATGGTATACAACCCCTGCTCACCACAAGCAATAACCCACAAGCAAACGGTTTAATAGAACGCTTAAATGCCACCATTACAGGCAAACTCAGACTAGCTTATCTAGAAAATCCAAAAGCTTCCTGGACTCAACTTGTTAAACGCGTCACTCAGACGTACAATAACACACCCCATTCTGTCACAAGTTTTCCACCCACCTACTTAATGTTCAATGTTGTCCCCCCAGATCTAAGAACTCATCTTAACCCCTACCCCGAAATAACTAGAGCTAGAGAGATAGCACGATCTCGTACCCAAAATAAGCATAAAAAAGATAAGGAAACATTTGATAAGTAGCACAGAACACCACATTTCGAAGTGAATGATCTTGTTTTGGTCAAAAATTATAGACACCCCGACACAGGTAAATTAGCACCATATTTTATTGGACCATACACAGTAATTGAAATAATATCACCCAATGTCGTTCGAATAGATCGCCCCAATCAACCTCTCAATAGAGACAGTTACACCATACATGTCAATAAATTAAAATATTACACAGAGAATGTTCTGTACATTACACCTCCTCATACCCGATATGTTCAAAAACAACAGCGAATGTCCCCAGATGTATATCTCAGTGAATTCAAACATTTGACTCCAGATATCTTTGAGACGCAACTATTCCGAATTATACCGCCACAAACTTCCCAGCCATTCCTACATTTAAATCCAGATTTATTTAATAGCGATCGTTTTAAAACAAACCTCAAGTAACGACCAGAAAATTCCCCGTTAAATTCACAAACCTATTCTATCTACATACTCTACACCAACCCATTTGGATCTGTATTACCTACTTACTTACTCTCTTTCACACAATATAAAGATTTCTGTGAAACCACCAGACCTAGAACTAGAGGAGAAGGAATTTAACGCTGTAGACAAGACCCCAGTAATATAATCCCCGACGATAAACAGCGGCAATTGCCCTTTAGTCGACCCCGTTTCATGTATATACAACGCCTCTCTCCCCGCTAACAAAGCTGTCAACTAAAAATCCGCTGTCGGAACGACCACCATGTGTTTCACATCAGCCATTTATATTTCCCCCAGAATTTCACAAATTCCCAGACAGAGAATAAAAAATACCGGATTGATAGACTAAACAACTCGACACCATCCCGCGTCTCTCCCCCTAGCTCGCCTCCAGAAAATTTGGAGCGTGTCCCGCATTCCTCTTACTACATTAACAGTCGATATCTTAACCTAACTTTTTAAAACATTTGGACATTTGAATTTGAACAAGACCTGCCTTAAATTGAACATTTTTGATATTTTGATCCAGTGTAAATCTCTAATTTTTGCTACATATCAAACATTTTACACGTTAAATTGAGATCACAATCTTTAACTATAATATAATTTTTGTATAAAATATTTTAAATTTTATTTTTTATTTTTGCCTTTCAATTATATAATCACTAGCTTTTAATCCAACATTATATATAAAAAATCAATTTTATTTTTCATAATATTATTTTAGTATTACAAAATATATATTTGTTGTCAAAAATCACTTTAATTCTTCATTATTATCACTTTTATATATTGATTGTTTGATTTTATCCACTTAAACTTTATTCAACCACAATGATATTTCTATATTTTATTCATTTTATATTTGTTTTTATACCTTTATATGAAATGACTATGTTATCATTAACTTTCGGGCATACAACAATCTATTTCTCTAACCCAGTGATTCTCAACCTTTTTTGTTGCGGCATTATTTTAAAGATTTGAAAATTTGGCGGCACAATTTTAGAATTTCGCGGCACACTTTTGCTAACTTGAATGCAAGAAAATTCAAATTATGTATCAATATTTCTATGCAAAATATAAGTAATATACATCTCTAACATTCAATTTGCTAATTTCGTTATTTTAAAAAGTAAAAAAATGAAAAAGAAAAAAAGAAAAACCAATACAAACGTGAACATAATCATATGACTAAAATTCGGCGGCACATTTTTAGAATTTCGCGGCATACAAAATTACCGCGGCACATTGGTTGAGAATCACTGCTCTAACCACTTCAGTGTACTTTACACTACTATCTTCTCAGTCATTGCTTCACATCAACGTAGAAAAACGACAGTACTGCTTGACAATTATTTTTTTTTATTTCATAATTTCAACAAACTATTTGATCAAAGTTCCCCAGATTTTAAAAATCCCAACTTCTGGCCTGAACACGTTTCAAAAGTTTACTACAATCATCCCTAGAGCATAATCACCCACGCAAACACAAAGCGTCCACAACTCTCACAACTCAATTTTTTAGCTCTAGCGGACCACAATCAACCTTTGATTTTAAGTCAAGTCAGATCACCTACTGTCGCTACAACAATTCTACTTAACGCATGACTCCATTTCACCCCTTTCAATCATATTAACAACTTGTTCTTCAACAACTTTTCAACGCAATAACCCTACAATTGTGACAAAGCACTGTAACCCTTGTACAGGATCACAGGTGAAACATTGCCTCGGAAGACGCACAAGTCTATATCCTCGCTTTGCACCTGGACCTAAGTATTAGATTACCTGTGTAATACTTACAATTGCATATTCTTTAACCACTAACCCTTTCCAACGCCCGCCAACAATCTCTTAAAACATCATCATTATTTTTTATCAAACAAAGGTTTTATCTTAATTTCTCTTTTATATGAATATCATAACTTTTAAATTAAACATAAGTTGTATTTTTTAGAATTTGCAGATATATCCAAACAAAACATCTTGTTATAGCCCTTTTTAACCCTCACAGTTTAAATTAATTAAAAGATATTTTAATTACTTTCCTGTGTTAGAGAGGCTTTACCCGTTTAAACCCGGATAAACCCTTTCACTCCCGGGGCTCATCTATGGTAATTTAAACCAACAACCCTATATTGTATAACTACTTATAACAAGATTGTCATGTTGTATATAGAAACACATCTATAAATAATTATGCGCATGATAAATCTGTGTCATTGCATCACCATATGTAATGTACTTTGTACAAACTAAAGACAAATAAATAAAACTATGTAATAGATTAAGAGCTGAGTTAAAGCAAGATTGAAAAGTTCAAAAACGTCTACAATCGAGACAACTCTAAAGGAATTCGGCAGTCGTTGCCATCAAGGTCAAAGGGTGCAGACGCCCAAAGTTCACATTCTCAGACATCCCCAACCCCCCTCCTCGGGAATGGTATATAAACACCTCGGTTTTAGCCGACCTGAGTTAGTCAGCAGTCACCACTTCACAGTCGGCGTGTGCCCTTGTTGGTTGTAGCCAGGTCCACATCATCGCCATGTAAAACAGTAAGAACTCTATATCTCCATCTTGCTTAGCTCGACTCCTATCTGTTCATGGAACTTTCCTACTACAGCTGTGTCTCTTCGTTTTGTGTGTGTGGACATTTCCAAGCTTTCCACTCTGCCTCGACCACGACTGCCTGTACTCTGTGAAAACTGTTAAAGGTCTTCCAAAGTGCAGAGAGGTACTGGAAAACTCTCCACGCCCTGACTGTCCCTCTCGGCTACTACAGGTTTGACCACCGGTTACCACAGCTTATAGCGAGAGTCGACAGGATCTCATCACGGATAAGTCGACAGCAACTCTTCATCACAGCTAAGCCGACAGGATAACCCAAACGAAGGACACCACAGCGAAGAAGGTAAGAAGACTGTCCAGATAGAAAAGAGAGAAAGAGCCAAGATGGAGGAACAAACCAACCCGTCCAACGATACTGCCGAGCAATCTGTCCCCAAACAAGAGACGACATTTCGAACCCGGGCCGCCCGCGTGGCAGGCGAGCATTCTACCACTGAACCACCGATGCTTATAAGAAATGGTCATATTTAGGTATTTATTCCATTCACAAAAGCAAAGGATGACAGAATTGATGACTCTGATACTTGTATTATTTAATAAGAGATGGATATTTTAATTTAACACTTGAATTAAATAGTTATTAAACAAATTAAAACCCATGATGAAAATATGAAAAGTTAATATTTAGTAGCCGCTACAAATCTGTTAAAAGACATGGATCTGAGTTGATATTCCATGCAGTCTAATGGTCCAATCCATTGAATCACATTATGTGTTTATATCCAATATCTGGTTGGTTACTGTTGTAATAGATCTTGGTAGAATAAACCCAACTTCAGGTTATTGGATAGTAGATTGTAACCCTCATCAGTAGAGAAGTTTCAAGAAAGAGAGAATTCTACCATAGTAAATCTGAGTTGGATTTCCATGCTTTAGTTTAAAGATTTAATTAGGAATAAAATATTTCTGAATATAGAGAAATTCTTACCTGGTATCTCTTTGGTATCGTTGATGTTTATTCTCGTTTTAAAATTAGTTCTTTGTTTCCATCTTTTTTTTTTTTTTGTGATATTCCTCAAAATGAAAACCAGTTTTCATTTTGACATCAAATGGTAAACTTCGGGTAATTTCTTGAAAGCCTTTCCATTCTTAACAATTAGAATTTTGAAGCATGTTTCTTCGTAATTTGTTATTTATTGTCTCTTTCACCTGATCAAATTCAATTAAACGCCTTGTCAAATAATAGATGGATATATTTTAAACTGTAAATTTTCTTATTTACTTTTCTTATTCATTTTAAATTTTGATTTCAGTAAAGTTTCGTTTTTTTTTTCTTCGTAAACTTCTATGATTGGTTTAGTGAGAAATTGTTGTTGATTTGTATGCTTCTCTAAACATATAAAATGAAAGGATTTAAAAGCACGAATGTTTCTTTTATACATAATACAAACTTCTACTGTCCTTACTGGGATGAAAAAATATATTGGGAGGGCTTGACTCATCAGTGGTGAACCCTCCCAGCGGTTTCGTCAATTTAATCCACCAGACCGCTTCTCAGAGCTCTAATACTGTATTGGACGATTCTGCTTATATACGCAGCACTGAAGGATGGGGAAAAAAATTGGCGAAACCGCTGGTAGGGTTCACCACTGATGAGCCAAGCCCTCCTAATATATTTTTTCATCGCAGTAAGGACAGTAGAAGTTTGTATCATGTATAAAAGAAACATTCATGCTTTTAAATCCTTTCATTTTATATATATAGATGGCGCGTTATTGCTTTGTGTAAATTTATGCTTCTCTCTCTTTCCAATATACATATTCAGACAAATTTAGATAGAAAATATAGAGAATATTCAAATAAAAACTTATATAACAACTATTTTTGAAATATAAAAAATGTTCATTAGTAGAAATGAATTTTATCAAACATTGTTATTTTAACAAATCTAACTTTGGTTTAACCAATTTCTTAGTTATTTTTTCTCTTTTCAATGTGAAAGCACAAATGGCATTAATTTCTTGAATTGTTTTATTCTGTTAAATTTGTTTTTCTCAGCGATATTTGAGGTTTATTACAAATTGTTTCGCTAAATAGCACTTTTTATATATGACATTTACCTTAAAATTTTAAATTTTTTCTTCACATATTATTCACTGTTTCAACTATCATGAACTAGGTTGCTCTTGTTGAGCGGTACCTATTAATGTGATTTTGAAACGGCGGTTAAATTTTTGTTAACAACTAATATGTTTTCTTTCTGTATGAAAATATCAAAACCAATGGATTTATATGGAGATTTTAAGGCAAAATATTCTTTTTATTGAAATATATCATCAACATATTCTTTATGGTATTTAAGTAAAATATATTTGTTTATGTGATTTAGAACACATGTTATGGTGAAAGTTGCTATAAAGTAGAAAATAACAATGTAAACAGTAACAATGCGTTTCTTTATTTGTGCAAAATGCAAGCTTTCGGATCTTTATAATCCTTCCACACTTCTACACTTTATAATCCTTCCCCAGACATAGCTATAAGTTGAGAGAATGAGGATGTCATAGCTATTTATTTATTTTTTGCTTATCCCTAGTACACGTGGTACAGGGCATGATAATCATGGTGGGTAGTTAGCGACTGCCTGTTTACTGTAAGCGCACCACGTGTCTACACATGTGAAAAGCAGTTCGACTTTGCACTTACAAATGTGCCAGAGCCCCGTTTGGTTACTTGCACTCGCTGGTGGAGTTGGACATTTGCAAGAATCGAGGGGCCATTGGAGCATTTTTTTTTTTAAACAGAAAAACGTGTCTAATGCGGGAATCGAACCCGGGTCGTAGTGGTCGAAAACCAAACGGTTTAACCAGCCTTCCACCGACCCCACTGTCATAACTATGCCAGTAGAATGATTATAAAGATCCGAAAGCTTGTACCCTGCACGAATAAAGAAACGCTACTGCTTATAATCTTATGTTCTACTAACGACGTTATTGCAGGACACTAGCTAGTGACTGGATGTACTGTGACATATTGACAGTAAGTAGGGATAGTAATATAACCGTCACCTGCCTCGATTTGAGCAAGATAGTCTGCTGCATCGCATTCTTCAAAAAACGATAATATATGAATTCGAACAACAATATTCCGACTTAAATCGCAGAGAGATAGTATGTGTGAATAACTACAATTTATGAAAGATTCAAGCTAGCATGTGGCCAACATAGAAAACTACGAACCGCTTGAATTCTTCGCGAGCTATGTTACTTAAAACGGTCGCTGGCCATGTGTGAATCGGTCATTCCACATTGGACGACCCCATCTTTAACCCCATATATACGTACAGGTGTGAAGTGGAATGGACCTCATATCTCCTTCTTTAATAACTTGCGCTTTCCACAGACAAGCCAGTGATTTCTAGATTGTGGATAACGACGCAAAACTCCGATGGGAGGCCTCGCGTGTAACGTAGAACCGTGAACAGCTGTATTAACTATGCTTCATTAAGAAAAATGGTCTTTGATGTAACGATCTCAAGGAAATATTGGACATATCTTGTGGTTGTAAACAATATATAGGTGTATGCGTGTATATGTGTGTATATATGTAATAAGTTGAGGTCTGGTAGCCTCTTGTAGAATCCTGTCGACTTTGCTGTGGTATGGAGTTGCTGTCGACTTATCTGTGATGAGATCCTGTCGACTCTCGCTATAGCTGTGGTAACCGGTGGTCAAACCTGTAGTAGCCGAGAGGGACAGTCAGGGCGTGGAGAGTTTTCCAGTACCTCTCTGCACTTTGGAAGACCTTTAACAGTTTTCACAGAGTACAGGCAGTCGTGGTCGAGGCAGAGTGGAAAGCTTGGGAACCACACACACAAAACGAAGGGACACAGCTGTAGTAGGAAAGTTCCATGAACAGATAGGAGCCGAGTTAAGAGCAAGATGGAGATTTAGAGTATTTCTTACTGTTTTACATGGTGATGAGGTGGTCCTGGCTACGACCGACGGTGAAAGGGGTGACTGCTGACTAACTGCGGACTAACTAACTATTGTCGGCTAAAACCGAGGTGTTTATATACCATTCCCGAGGAGGGGGGGGGAGACATCTGCGAATTTGAACTTTGAACGTCTGGGGCATTCTGCACCCTTTGGACCAGATGGCAACGGGCTGCCGAATTCCTTTTCAGGGTTGTTGGATTTCTCTCTCGATTTTAGACGTTTTTGAACTACTCAATCTTGCTTTAACTTAGCTCTTAATCTATTACATAGTTTTATTTATTTGTCTTTAGTTTGTACAAAGTACATTACATATGGTGATGCAATGACACAGATTAATCATGCGCATAATTATTTATAGATGTGTTTCTATATACAACATGACAATCTTGTTATAAGTAATTATACAATATAGGGTTGTTGGTTTAAATTACCATATATATGTATATATTTTTAAATTTAATGATGTAACTGTAAATAAAATTCAAAGAATATCTCTATATGTAAATAATATTTATGAATCTTTCTAAGTTACTTTCTGTGTATCTTTCCATGTTGAATATTTTCTTTGTTATACAAAGTATGTCCCATAAGTTCCCGGACTGGGTTCATAAAAAAATAAATAAATGAAAAATGTAAATGAATTTGACTGTTTATTATAGAAAAAATATCTGGCTACACGGTGATACCAATATCGAGGCGGTACTTGCGCGCGCGCCAAGGTTATTCTAATTTATTTAAAGGTCACACCTAGCGCTGCGGCGATTTTACGATGGAACAAAAATTGAAGCAGAGGATTTGCATAGAATTTTGTGTGAAACTTCAAATATCAGCAACCGAAACTTTTGAAATGCTCAATAAAGCATTTCCCAATGACGCCCCAAAGAGAACAACTGTTTTTGAATGGCATTCTAGATTTAAAGCTGGCAGAATTTCCATTGAAGATGATCCTCGTCAAGGACGCCCAAAATTTCAAAGGACTGATGAAAATGTGCAAAAAATCACCGATTTGATAAAAGAAAATCCTCGAACCACTTTGCTGAAGCTAGAGCAAGACACAGGCATCTCTAAAACAACGATTGGAAGGATCGTAACCGAAGATTTGAAGCTCAAAAAGACTCCTGCAAAATTCATCCCAAGATTCCTCACCAATGAGTAAAAACTGTGTCGGCTTGCAACCTGTGAGGACATGATGGAAATGACAAGAACGGATCCAGAATGGAAAGACAAGATAATCACAGGCGACGAGACATGGGTCTATGGCTATGACCCTGAAACCAAACCTCAATCTGCCGAGTGGAGAGGTTAGGGTGAGCCTAGACCCAAAAAATCCAGAAACAAGGTGTTGCTGGTCGCTTTTTCGGATAACAAGGGCATTGTTCATCACGAGTATCTTCCTGCAGGCCAAACAGTTATTAAGGAAATGTATTTGGGCATTCTTCGCCGTCTAATGGAAGCGATTCGAAAAAAAAGGCCAGAAAAATGGACTAATGGTGGCTGGATCCTACACCAT